CCACTAGCCACACATGGCTATTTACACTTAAGTGAATTCAAATGAAGTAAACTAGAAATTCAGTTTCTCAGCTGTATTGACTACAGTAGTAGTCCGTGGTTTTGCTTTCCGCTGTGAACCATGTATCATCACGAGATCAACAGCAGCCCAAGGCTACGTCATTCCCTTCACTTCACCTCATCCCGTAGTCATCTTATCAGCTCACATCATCACAAGAAGGGTGAGTACAAGGTATTTTGAGAGAGACAGAGACCACATTCACTTAGTTTCTTATTATAGTCTATTGTCACAATCATTCTATTTTACTATTGTTGTTCATCTCGTACTGAGCCTAATTTCTAAGTTAAACTTTATCATAGGTATGTATGTATAGGAAAAAACGTCGTTTATGCAGGGTTCAGTAGTATCTGCGGTCCCAGACGCCCATGGGGGGCCTTGGAATGTACGGAATGTACAAGGATAAGGGAGAACTGCTGTACATTCCCAGGGCTCAGCACAAGTAGCTAGTGGCTAATCGACTAGACACCGAGGACACAGACCATGTCCATCACTGCAGGAAGTCCTGTTGGACAGTGCTGCTCTCAGTTACTGACAAGCCCCCTAGAAGACCCTTTCCATATATAGTCAGGTACTGTAGGCAGAGAAAAGACCAATTGCATGTATTAACCTTACAATGAAAAGCACAAGGCCAGATGGTCCAAGTCAAAGGCAAAAACCGCTTTGTGATGAAGCTTCTTCTCACATGGACCATTCCTGTAGCTCCAGGAGGAGTAACATCAGGGGTTTCCTTATTGAACACCAGCTAAGGCTGGGGGATCCAGTGGCAGTAATGCAACTGATGTCAGGTATCAGGTTCCTTTTCATTAGTTATCGGGGATAGAGGTGGGGGTTAAGAAACTCGAGCCTTTAAAAGCACAGGACCCCTGTTCTAACTCCGATGGAACAAGAGACAAAAGCAGAATCTATAGCACCAGCCACTGTTCATTTCCTAAGGAGCTCTTGTCAAGGCCCTTGCTGACCTTGGCCTTCCTGAATCCAGGGCCCATTTCTCAGCTGTCATCCCACAAGGACTACGAGGGCCATCTGGCACAGCTGAGCGCTCCTTCCTCCTGGATTTATCTTCAAGGAGCCACCCTCTCTTCTTCTCCATTTTCTCCCCACATTGCTGGCTCCTTCTTCTCACTCTCCTTTGCTGGTACCTTCTTTTCTCTACAAACTTCATGTCGGAGCGCAGGCACTCGGTCCTCGATCGTCTTCTCTATTTACACTCACCTCCTTGGAGATTCCATCCAGTTTTATGAGTTTAAATACCATTTATGCCATGCTGAGGACTTGCAAACATATTTCCAGACCACACCTATCATCTGGCCTCTTACAAACCACCTCCTCACCATCCCTATGTGGAGCTCTCATAAGCCTCTCACTCTCTCCAGGCCCAAGACTGAACTCTGTTTTTTCCCCACAGATCTGTTCTCTCTGCATGTTCAGGTTAATGGAAATTCCAACTTTCCAGTGCCCTCAGCCAAAACCTCAGTCCCCTCTCTCTCCTTTCTTACCATCACAACTATTCTGTCAAAAAATCCTTCTGCACCACCTTCAAAATGTACCCAGAAGCTGACCTCTTTGCATCTCCTCCAGGGCAGCTGTCTGATGGGAGCTGTGGTCCCCGCTTGCTTGGACTGATCTGCCATTGGGTTTAGGGTCCACCATCTTGAGATCGTTACCTTAGTTACATCTGCAAAGACACTTAAGATACGGTCACATTCTGATGGGGTCTTTTGGGAGTCACCACTCAACCCACTACGCTGCTGTACAGACCATTGTCAACACAGCAGCCCAGGTGATCCTTTAAAAAAGTTAAATTATGTTACTCTGCTGCTCAAAACCCTCTCATGGTCTCATGTCAGGAAAACTAAAGTGCTTAGACTGGCCTAAAAGGCCCTACATGATCTGGCTTTTTTACCTCTCTATCTTCACCTACCTTCTGGGCAGACAGCACTGGCTCAGACTAGTGCATGTGGGAAGAACTGGAAGAACGTGAGCCATGTTTTGAATTAGCACCAACAGGACCTGGTTACTGACAACACTTGATGAGGAATAAGTCACGGAGGTAGAAAGGTATTATGAATTTGGTTTTGTACGTGCTGCATTTGGAATGTCCTTGAGTGTGTTATATGTAATTTCAGAAGCTCAAAAAGAGCTTCCTCTGGTCTGAGGAGATAAATTTGGAAGTTGCTGGCTTACAAACAGAAACTGAAGCCTTGGGAGAAGAACGCCTGGGTGGTACAGCTGGTTGAGCGTCCAACTCTTGGTTTCAACTCTCACGTCCTGGGATTGAGCCCCACGTTGGGCTCTGTGCTCAGTGTGGAGTCTGCTTGGGATTCTCTCCCTCTGCCCCTCCTGCTTGTGCTCTCTAAAATAAATAAATAAATCTTTCTAGGCAAGTGTCCTAAATACAACTTCTACCTGATTTCTTTTTTAAAGCTTCTCTCTACTGCAGTGGTTCTCAACTAGGGGTGACTGTGCCCCCCAGGAGACTGTCGACAAGGTCTGGAGATATTTTTGGCTGTCACAACTAGGCGGGCAGGTGCACTCCATCCAGTGGGTGGGACCATGTACTACTCAATATTCTATGATGCACAGGACAGCCCCCTGCCACCTCAACAAGGGACTATCCAGCCCAAAAGGTCAATACTGCTAAAGACAGCCTGCTCCAGAGCAAAGCTCCTTGAAAATGCAGGCCATTTACAACAGACAGAAGAGGGCTCAACTATGGGATCGAGGTAACTATCTTCAAATTTTCTGTCCCAGAAACATCCCAATGGCCTAAACAAAACCAACTTAGTTTTTGGAAAAGGCATCAAAACAAGTACACAAAAAGGCACAAGGTTTAGATAGTAAGAAAGCCTATGGATGCACTTGACTTCTCCCTCCTTCCTTGCCTTGCTTTCCCATCCTCTCGTTTACTTCCCGCGTGGAGAGTTAAGTTCTAATGATAAATTCATCTTGACAAAATTCCTTTACCAGAAGTAAATGTGAAAGTTGGAAGAATTTAGTAAGACAGGCTTTTGCCCATATATAGAAATGATGAAAGACCAGGCCACGATTAAAGTCTGAGCAGAGTAACATAATTAGCAAATTTATGAATGGGTCTTCTTTTCACGGTTCCACTGTCAGGACTAATTACTTATATTAATTAGAACTGTCAACACATGAATATGCTTGTTGAGGCTGCTTCCTATGGTAAAATACGAGGCTTGTAAATATCAAGACACTTGGAAAGATGCAAAGACTTTCATTTATTAGAAGCTCTAAATGATGTGGAGGCACCGGCTACACAATGAGCCTTGGGAATGGACTGTAAGTAGGTTCCTAGTTAACGAATTTGCTGTTTGTTCTTCTTTGCTTAGGCATTAGTCTCCGTGTAGCCTCTAGACGAAATAGCTGATACATCACTCCTTTGGAAGGACTGTGGCAAGGATAAGGAAAGAATGTGCACGTTACTGAAAACTGGAAAGCATAGCCAGGATGGTTAAGGTAGGCAGGAGGGAGCTCCTGTCTCTTCTCTGAGTTGTCAGACCTACTGTAAAATAAGTTTTAAGAACTGCTTGAGACAGAGGGGAAAGACAGCTGGGGGACAAAGAACCAGAGTTGGAACACCACTTTTAACTCTGTGTGACCCCGGGTAAGCAGACAAGTTACTTAGCCTCTCTGTGCCTTGGTTTTCTCACCTGAAAAATGGGACTAGAGCCCAAGCTTGTCCAGAGTTGTGGTGAGCTTCTAATGAGGCCATACACGCAAGGGGCTTCGAGCAGCACCCAGGTGAAGCATGTACTAGCTCTTACTGTTTTCATAACACTCGCCATCTGGGATGGGGGCAGAGACAGAAGTGAAGACTCCTGGAAGGAGATCTGTAGAGTGACCTGCACAGTGATGAAGAGCTCTGGAGTCAGACAGGTCTCGATTCATACCTTGACTCTATTACATTTAATTTCTGAGCCTCAACTGTGCCTGTCTTGGAAGTTCTCGTGAATAGTAAATGGAAAAAAAAAAAAAAAGCATGTAATGTACATGCTCTGCGTGGTCTGTAAGAGGCTTGCTAAATGTTAGTGCCTTAAGTGTTCATTACCATTATTACCTTTTGGGAGAAATCTCGGAAATCGAAATGGATGCCAAAAGAAAGGTTTCGGTAAGTGATCTAAGATAAGTGGAGAGAGAAAACGTGTGGCAAAGAAGAAAGGAAAGCGAAGTGGCAAGAAGAGGTGCTAGAGTGAGTGCCTTCTGTGCCGTGTGTCCTTCATCCATGTCTCAGGTGGCGGCCACCACCACGGGCCTCGAGCACGGCTTAACTCCCTAGCCACCAAATCTCCATAAATCCCTTAATGACCCTGCTCATTGGTGAAGGAGGGACAGCTGGGATTCCAACTGGGGGCCTGACTGACTGCAAAGCCCAGACCCAGACTGTGTTGAGGTGGGAAAGTAAGGCTGCAAAGAGCTTCACCACAGACTGAGGGGTATACAGACACTAAGCTCTTTCTGCTTCCTTTTTCCTTTTTCCCTTTACATATAAAAAATAGTAATCAGGGGCGCCTGGGTGGCTCTGGCGGTTAAGCATCTACTTTCGGCTCAGGTCATGGTCCCAGGGTCCTGGGATCGAGCCCCACCCACATCAGGCTCCCTGATTAGTGGGAAGTCTGCTTCTCCCTCTCTAACCCTCCCCCTCCCTCTGCCCCTCCCCACTGCTTGTGCTCTCTCTCTCTCTCAACCTCTCTCTCTCTCTCTGGCAAATAAATAAAATCTTTAAAAAAATAGTAATCCAATTCTTGATAGGCAAAAGCTTGTTCTGGCTGGTTGGCTAAACTTTACCTGATAACTACCATAAAATGCCATAAAATGTTAAATTAGGGTCAGTTAATCGTTTCACTTTTAATTCCCTTAAGTACCAACTTGGCACCAGCCCACAAAAGGCGAATCATTCTGTGTTTTATTTGACAAGGTCCTTCCAGGGACTCCTATTTCTGACAGTGTAAGATGGCCTATCTCACCAGTGCTGCAGGGAGTGGTCCAGAAATGACTGAAGAGGGCATCTATCTGCTAAGATCTCTCCTAGTCCAAAGGTTTTCTATTTCCGAATATCGCAAGATGTCGGTACTACAATTGATTTCAATTGAAAATCTATTTCTGTATAAAACATATAAAACTAAAAAAATAAATAAATAAAACATATAAAACTAGACAACTAATAAAATGTGGTAAGTTTGACACCTAATCTTGTCTAAACATCGTGCAATACCTTAAAACCAATCGGGTCAAAAGTTTATAGCATCAAAATACTATATGAAGAGAACATCTAGTTGGAGAATGTTCTGGATCATTTCACAAGGTTATTTGTTAAATGCAAGATAACAGAAAATCCACAGAAGTTCCTAAAGATATTAAAAAGGAAGCTGATCCACACTAACCACTGGAACCTGTTAAAACTTATTTTAAGGATATATCTTCCCACCTCTACTCTAGTTGCTCACTAATTGCTTTTGAAGCAAGACAGACACCAAAGGATCCTCCTGACAATCCTCTAAGGTAGTGGAGAATCTTTAGTAATGGTTAGAATGTGCATTATTGCACATCAAAGAACTCTTTTTTTTTTTTTGATTGCACATTATGCTTAAAAATGAACTTGCATGATAGAGTAGAAACAGCTCTAAGAGGGGAGTGTAATGATGTGGATTCCAGGACAAGCCCCAGGATAGATAAGCCATGAAGCTCTAGCCAATAACAACCTTTTTCCCCAGGGTACACATTGCCAAGGTGGTTAGGACCAGGCCATTCCTAACGCACTTACAGACTTAGAATCCCAGGAATCACTATGTTAACAAGAACTCTGGGTGATTCTCATAAGGCCAAACCACTGCCACGGGGCCCACAGACGAACAGTTCTGCAGTTGCTGGGAGTGTTAGCTGAACTCTTTAAATGGCACAGCAGACCCGTCAGGTTAGAATCATCTCTAATTGGTGATCTCGTGAACTGCAACTTCCCTAACCATGAAAAGGCCTGTAAATTTCATTCCTCTAAGAATAAACATGTTAAAAGGCAAAATAATAATACAAAGAAGGACTACGAGCAATAATCACTAAAATCCACTGCATTGTTCAGTAATATTTAAGTCTGGAGAATAAAATAAACAAAAACCAAACATGTTATAATTTCTTAATTGCAAGATTTCCAATAAGAATTGGTATGTGATATAAGACGGGCTTAGTATTTGTTTTTTTGTTTTGTTTTTTCGTTTTTTTTTGTCATGGAGACATGTCAAGAAACCATGTACCACCCTTTCTTCCATCCTTCACATCCCTAAACATTCCCAACCAGCCTTCCCCCTTCTCTTTTACTAACAATGGTTTCACCTAAATAAGAGCTATTTTTGCTGATGCCTTAGTACTTCCCTCCCTCCATACACCCTTCCTCTTTCTCCCTCTTGACCAAGTTCTCTGAAGGCAGGAAATGTGGTCTTCATCTTCATTTTGGGGGAACAAGGGGAGCTATCTCGCCCCTATGTGGCACAATATGCGTTTTCCATACATTCTAAAAAGTATATATAAAGAATTTAGAAATCTAGGTACTATTGAAATGGGTGGTATTATCTGTACCTCCAACTTAAAAAAACGAAAGCGCTCACTGCCTTCTGTTAGAGCTCCTTAAGGAGCGATGCAGAGATTAATGGGAACCTCTCACCTTGGTCTTCAAGGATCTCTCCACCTGAAGACTGGGCAAGATTACAAAGAATCTCTGTGCACACTCCCTCAGGCCAACCCCACCAGCTGTGGATCCCGACTCGTAATTTTAAAAAGGTCCCAATGTGATTCTAACAGAAGGGCAGCTAAGCACCACCAAAATCTCTAAACCATCTCCTCTAGTTACTTAAATACTAGTCAACTGTATGTTTGGTCTTTCTTGAATTACAGTCCTTGGATGCACCCACGGTCACCATTCACTTACGGAAACACACGGGACAACAATGGTTATTCTGTTTTCAGAAACCAAGTGAGGTCACCACAGTTAGGAATATATTCAGTTCTCCTTGCTGACGGTGAGCTGTATCTTTCAGAAAAGTCCACTCTCCTTTATTCTTAATATTGCCTTTCCTGTCTTTCCACTGAATTGGGAGATTCCATCTACAGTTAGCTGATGTTACCTGTGGGTTGGAAAACATTTTGGGATTTCATATCCCCTGGACTCTCACATGTATCCACTGCAGGCCCTGAAAAGACTCAACCATGAAATCTGCCACACACATTCCCATACAAAGCTTAAAGTGGGCCAAGAAGACATACATTAACCTCTCTTTGGAAAACTTAATCTGAAACTTTTTGATGAATAATTTACACAGCTCTGATTCACTAAAATTTCTAAAATTTCATTCCAATAGGAATGAGTATGAATACAAAAAAAGAATTCACTAAGCTAGTAAAGTACTAGTAGCATTTCATAGAATACTAGTACTATTATTATTAATTAAAATTAAAACCCTACCAATACAGTACGAGAGGGAAAGTAACAGTGACTGAGTCCAGAGACTCTGGAGCCAAGACTGTTTGGGCTCACATCTACCGCCTACTAGTTGTGTGACCTCAGTCAGCATCCGTTTGGTTTCGTCTTTTCTGGAATCGGTAAATAGTAAAACTCACCTCATTGTTGTTGGATCAACACGTGCACACGCACACGCACGTATACACACAGATGCAGGTCACTTACAATGGTGCCTGGTATGCCAGGACTCACTTAAACTCCGTCTCTCCCCCTGCAACCCGATCCTCACACACAGCACAGTGACCTTCAAATCCGTATTTGCTCTTATTGCTCCCCTACTTAAAACTCTCCCTGGCTTCCACCATCCCCAGGGCCAGCTACAAAACCCTTAAACACCACGTACAGGACCTTTCACAAGTGGATTCCCACCTAGCTCGCCACTTGGGGGCTCCACGTGAAAAATATCTTGCAGGCCCAGACAACTTGGTTTTTCCAATGGGCCATCCTCTCAGCTCGGGGTCTTCATCCATTTTCTCTGTTCCCCTCTTGGTTCAAACCCTTCATGACTCATCACTTTCAGGGGAACAACCATAATCCTTAGATGGGCCATGGTCTGGAACCCACTAATTGAAACTTAGGGTCCATAACCCAGATCACCCCCAACTTAGATACGATACAGCCATTCATATGAGAAAGGATGCTCACTACCCACGTGTTCCATCTGCTGAACTTTATGACACGTAAGGTGACGGCAGATGTTATGACGTCACTACTCCGGAGGAAGATCCCTGAATTCTGAGTCTCGAGTGAATGGCGTCCTCTCTGTATGACTCTGTCTTCTGTTTGCTGTAGGTGCAATTTTTAAGTTATTTTCACATTAAGGAGTTGTTTCTCTGTTCATGGAACTGCAAAGAGCAGAGCAAGGCATGCTTTTTAGAAAATACAAGTCTGGGTGATTTTACGGACAGCGCTCATTTGATCTCATTATTCGGCCAGGTAATTGACAGGAAAGAATGTCCTAATTGCTCATTAACTCTGAAGATGTCCCCCTCGCACGGTGTCAAGGTCTAAGAGACACAGGGTACACAGCATCTGTACAAACAGCTGCTGCTTTGGGGGACAAAGCTTTAGTTTCATGCAGCTAAAAAAACAGCAGATGTTTTTGATTTGGGCTTTAAACAATCTTATCTATAATCGAGTAGAATTTGGTGGGGAGTTATTTTCTCCTCGGGCTAATAAGATGAACCACATTGCTGGTTAAATGCTATTTTTCCGGGGCCACATGGTTTTTCACAACCTTTGCTGATGGAAATCATTTTTGGTTCGATTGTAATCTGCCAAAATGTAATCTCCTCCGGAGAAAGGCTCTCCCGTGAAGCTCTTTCACATCCACCCACCCGTCCCTATATGCAGGGGACCATAATGAGTAAAATCAGAGCAGAAACATGCCATCAGTGTAGGCACACCTCAGGTCCCTTCCTCACAGCATACAAAGAAATCCAGAATTCCACTGAACAGATGCCCACATACCAAGAAGAATGGTCTACATGTTTCTGTGATACGGAAAACATTAACATGATAATTAGCAAATCATCAGGGCTACCAAGGGCTAGGAAATGTTGTAACTTGACAACCGTCATCGTGTCAAAATTATGCTCAAAATGGGCCTTGCTGGCCTGAGTTATCTAAGTCAGGGGCTTAGTCCCCTCTGCACCCCCAACTGTCTCACCAAAAAGCATCCTCTACACAACAGCAAATTACTGGGGGTTTAGAATTTATCTTTGTCACCGCAGCGTGTGCCAAAAGAAGGGCCCTGCGAACCCCCAGAGACGCAGCTTATTTAAAGTTGTAATGAAGACAGCAGGTGTTCTATACAGATGTCACTTCTTCTAGAAGACACTTATTAAACACTTTATCTCCCTTAATGTCGAAGGACTAGCTGCATTTTGTTTTCTTTCAGCATCACTGTAGCCAAAAGCAAACTGTTTCTTTTTAGTCTCACTGAGCTGAAAATTAAAAACTACTGGGCTTTGGGTGGTTTAGGTTGATTTGTAAAGAATTCTAAATGCAGTGATTCAAGAGTCAGCCCATACTGTTTTCTGGTAACACAAAACTGTATTTTGCAATACAAAAATGCTCTTTTTTTTTTTTAAGATTTTTATTTATTTATTTGAGAGAGAGAGAATGAGAGACAGAGAGCACGAGAGGGAAGAGGGCAGAGGGGGAAGCAGACCCCCCGCCGAGCAGGGAGCCCGATGCGGGACTCGATCCCGGGACTCCAGGATCATGACCTGAGCCGAAGGCAGTCGCTTAACCAACTGAGCCACCCAGGCGCCCCCAAAAATGCTCTTCCACAGAAAGCACGCCATACTTCTCCTCTCCCTGGTGACCCAAACCTCTGCGTTCCAACTACCACACAACCTTTCACTCAGATGAAGCGGAACAGATAGGAAAGGACCACTCTCCATAAAATGTACGAAACTTTACATTTCATATACATACTGTCAGGTAAAATGGAACTGCCTGGTGCCATGGTTCCTAACCTGTGTGCTAAAGCAGCCACAAACTAGGAATCCAGTGTGTCCTGGGACCTTAAGAAGGAAATCACTACAGTAGGCAGGGGAGCTAGCTACTGATGACAGGAGCAGCAGGCCTTCTTGTCTGCAGGGTATGGATAACTTTAGCTTGGAAGGTTCAGAATAGAGAGGAGAAGGAAAAGAGATAAGCAAAAAGGAAAAGGGGAGACAGGATCTCACTGGGCTCTTCTCAGTCTCCCCCATCACTCTGACTGCCCATCAGGAGCCCGCAGAGGTTGGGAGCATGAATGCATGACGTAGAGGTGTCTGAATTTTTCTGCAGCAACCTGATGCCTTCAACAGAATGGGGCCTGGAGAGAACATCAGAGAAGGCATGGCTAATACTGAATATTTTTAGCAATGCATAGATTCATTTTAATAATATGTTTCTCCTTCTAAAGGTTCCACATGATTTTGCAGAAATTTTAGAAAATGGAGTTAAGCCAAAACAAGAAAATAAAAGTCACCATAATCTTATTCTTGAGAAATAAGGATAATTGGCATTTTGTTAAATATTATCCCAATCTTTTTTACAGCACATTTACTAGGTCTTCCAAAAATAAATGGGTTTTTACTAAGAATACTGCTTATATCCCTGCTTCTCATCTGATACACCATGAACCTGCCTCTCTGTCTTTTTAATGGCTGAGTATTATTCTACATCATGATTTATTACTCTGTCCCTTATCGTGGCATGATTAGGCCATTTGCAATTTTTCCAAAGCAGATGATTTCAATGTAATTTTAATCAGCTTAATATTTATAGTAATCTTCATAACATTGCACAATTTCAGTCCTGTGTTATAACAAAAATAGATTTAAATAACACAGATGTGACACAGGAAGATTTCTGGTCCCTAATTGAGATTCATGAAGATATATAAATACATATTATGCATGATTCTCACATCTGGCTCTCCATAACTAAGTACAACAGAATTATAAATAGTTCTGGACCCTTGGAGAACTGCCATGTGATGAAACTAGACCACTGTGAAAGCTATTTGTGATTCTCTAATAAATGGAAATCAACATATGACTCTTGATTTTTCTTACTAGCAACACAACACAACAAAATGGATAGAAGACTGCACGACTCTGAGCAAGAGGACTTTGAGAGGCAGAGCAGACAGCATTAGAAATTCTCTCGGGAATAATTCCCACTCACAAGGAGCGGGAGAAATGTGTAACAGCCTGATGTAAAATTCTGATGTCTTCAGCCACACTTAATGTGAGCACATATTCTTTTTTGTTCTGAATCATTTCTCTTCAAAAAGGAAAGCTACTGAACAAAAACAGAACCCTATTTAAATGAACGATACAAATATCTTTAATTAAAATGTCACTAATGTGTCTGTATTAAAAATATTTTCATGCTCATATGCTACAAATTTTTGTAGAAAGGAATGACAGCCAAGCAGATGATTTATGATTGTGTACAGTAAGCATTTTTTTTTTTTTTTTTAGTGTGTGTGTCCTATAAGGTACCTGAGATGCAGGTTTCTTGTGTAAAAACCAACCAAACAAAAGAACTTAGCCAATCATTTATGGACAGGTGAGGACCACAGTAAGAGAAATGTCCTTGTTATTCTAGAAGTAATAGTCTTTCTAAATGTAGCCCAGACTGTTCCTGAGCAGCCACACCCATCTCAGTTCTCAGAATTCTGAATTCGGGAAGATCACAACAGCCAATCCACCTCCCAGAGCACAAACAAAACTCCAGCTCAGTACCGTCCTGACTACATGGAGAGCAGTCTCTACTGTAACTGACAATTCGGCGGCAGCCTAGAAAAGCTTCTTCTAAAAAGGGTCTGTTGTATGATACAAAAGTGTCCCAACTAGGAACAGAGAAGTCTGGCCTCCTTGTCTGTTGTTTACAACTTAGAATGTGACCCTGGGCAAATCATTTAACTTCTCTGTGCCACCTCTTCACAATCTGAAAAACGAAGCTAACTACAAATGCTTATTTTGTAGCGCAGTGTGGGTATGTGAACCTTCCCAGCACCATGGACAGGCACTTAATTCTTGTTGACTTGGAAATAATTTCACCAAAGCATTTGCGGTGCTTTCTTTTGGGCGCCCATATTATGGATAGCTGCAAGGATACACCTCAAATGTTATGTGGTTTTTCTCTGGGTGGTGGGGTTATGGATTATTTTTTTGTCTTCTTTTCTTATTTGTATTTTCCATAGTGAATATATATTGCTTTTTATAACTAGAATGACAAATGCTGCCCAAATCATAAAAGACCATGATAGATGAGCTCAGGTACCTGTCTCATCACCTGTCTCAGGTCCTCAGCATCATCTACCTTAGGACATCACCTGTCTCAGGTCCTCAGCACCATCTACCTTAGGACATCTGGAATTCAGGTAGAACTTCCAGAAAAGGAGTTGAGTGCTGTCCCCTCCCACGGCAAAACAAAAGCAGACCCACACAGCAATGACGGTGCACATCTTAACTGGTGTTAGCACACATACATGAGAGCCACCTGTCACACTTCCTCACCCATCTCCCCCTTCCCTGGAAGGCCAGGTGAACTCTGCCCCTGGCGACAGGGGAAAGCTGAAAGGCTGTCTGGGGTCAAGAACAGAAGGCTCACGCAGGGGTTCAGCTCTAGGGTAGCCTCATAGGAGCCCTAGAAATGTGGGTTCAATCTCGCACCTTCTAGGGAGGTCCTGACTTCCAAGCTCCTCACACCTGCCTACTTTACACCTGCGTCCCCAGGGCAGGACACTGTCAACAGTAACCGAGGCCAAGCTCACAGACACGTATATAGATGGTGAAGGGCTTCTCTGAGTCTGTTTCCTCATTGGGGGAAAGCAGGTTGATGACCTCTAAGGTCATGCTCACTGCCAGCATATCACAGTTACATTTGAAAATGGTGCTGCTTTGTCTCATTCTTCGTCACTGACTTTAAAAATAATTTAAATAAATTAAGCAAAGGATCACAACAACACATCCTCCCCAAGATTTAAACTGAAGTCATGTGCTTAATATGCTCAACGATGTGGCTCTTTACAGACCCCAAACTCATGACTGGTGTTGTAGTTCAACTCACAGATGAAGATGGAATATTAAGGCACAATCATGCAAAATATTATATATACTTTTGATGTGTAATTATAATGCTGAAAGAGGAATTATAAAGGCTCAAATAAAAAGAAAATAAAATCCGATTCACTGAAAATATCAACTACTGAGTCTATGTAACAAAGTCTGAGCCTTCAGCTCAAAAAAAAAACTGTTTTGTTTTATATTTTAGTATAAATACGCAGGATTAGAAACTTCCTCATACCCTTAATTGTTTGATTAATAAGAACGTAAGATCCACTGTAATTTTAAAGCACTCTATGATATCTCTTTTCCAAATTAATACACTTCTGTAGAAACAACAAGAGTTTCTTAGGCCTAAATTGTTTTCTGCAATTATTTGATTTTATGAAAGACTGAATATACACGTCAATTACTTCTGAGATTAAAAACTGTATAGAGAGCTTGAGTATACAAATCATTATATTAGTAAACTTGATAGTCTATAAAATTCTTATATAACTTAGGGAATCATGGTTGCTGAAATATTTCACAGATGGATTAAGTAAAGTGATCAACTCATTTTCAAAGTTACTAGGGGCACCTGGGTGACTCACTTGGTTAAGTGTCCGACTCTTGATTTTGGCTCAGGCATGATCTCAAGGTCCTGAGATTGAGCCCTGGGCAGGCCCAGTGGGAGCCTGCCTAAGATTCTCTCTCTGCCCCTTCCCTGCCCCTCTCCCCACTGGTGCTCTCTTTCTCTGTCGCTCTCTCTTAAAAATATTTCAAGAGTTACTATATCTCTTTCGTGAATCTAATATATTGGTTCGCTGAAGTGAAGTAAGTCACTTAAATCTCCTATTGTTCAGCAAAAAGAATAATATTTTTGGTCTGATAGTAAAGAACAGGATTTATTCCTTTCTGTAGCCTACAATGCTTAACAGGATCTGACACAAGAGGCTCAAATGCAGATTTGCTGAGTAACAGAATGAATGATGATCTGAGCAACATGAGTGTGCAAGGTAATATTTCTGAAACCGTTAAGATTTGGTAGCCCAAAAGCAGTCTCCAAGTGTGGGGAGGATGGCGGGGACATGGGTGGGTGGAATTATTTCATTAGCGTTGTGTTTATACTTGTATTGTTAAATCTACTCATTAGCATCTGAATAATGCTTTCAATAAATGGTGATTGTGGGAGGGTAGCAGAGGAAAAATTATAAATATACACATAACCATTACTGTCAAGTTCCCAAATATGTTTAAATTTCATGTATCTTTATTTCTATTTTGTTATTCCAGTAACGGCAGGCTATGGTTAATATTTTAAAATTTGGGATCTCAAGAGAAGCGGGCTCCTTTACAATAGGGACCTACACAGAACTCTGTCCCACTCATTTTATTATTTTTCTCCCTGGCTGGGATATTCACATGTTGTTTCACAGATTTTAAAACTCATATACTTATGTTTCTTTATGTGTACAATTTGACATCTAGACACAGTCTCGAATATGAAACTTCACTCACTGAAGTGAGTATCTCCAACACAGAGTAGCAAGTGAGAATCATAATCCAAAGGAAGTGTTCTGCAATGAAACTGCTTTTAGACAATCTGGCAGATGGTACTTTTTCATTACATAGAAACTTTTCCTAGGGGAAAACACAGCAATTTACTTTAAAAAAAAAAAAAAAAGTGAAGCGGTCACACAGAATTAGCTGCACATCTCTGTCCTGGCCTCCAATGCCTCTTCGAAGCCAAGCAGGCCAGCCACGAACATTTGCTTATGTTAAAAAACGGTCCAACTGCATTATGCCTGCACTGGGCCAAGGAAGGACCATATAATTGTGCAACCGAATAAGATACCACCTCGTAATCTACGTATGGATCAGTTGAGATCTGCTGTCAATAGCTGTGTCAATTTATATTCCTGAAACGGTCTTCCATCCGTGAGCCCTGAGATCTACGTGCCACACGCCAATATTCCTGACAGTTCCCAGTGCCTCCACCTCTTTCTTGCTACACCCCTCCTTCTCAGTCCATTACCACAGAATAATGGAAAAGGAAGAGAGTACCCAATTCAACTCTTTACTATAAAAAAATGATAATAAAACAAAGGTCTGATTAGACTCAGTCATTCACACCTCAAGTAAAGCTAAGTTCATTAATAAGCCAGGACTGAATGCAGGCCACTGACATTCCCATCATTTTCCCTTTGTACCACACCGGGAAAGATAAAAAGAACGAACATAATGCATTTCATTTTTCTCAAAAATGTCCACA